GCGGAAGAGCTGCCCGAACTGGGAGCTCCCCACGACGGAGGGGTCCATGTTGTGGTTTCTTCAAGATGCGATGTTGTGTTAGATCACTATTCTCGGTTTTCATGACTGATCTCGCTGCTCCCCCACCGAGCGGATCGCTGGAGGCGATCGACGCCGGGGAGAGAGATATGGAGATATGGGGATCGGGTCGAGTGAATGGTTTGTGAACTTACGTCTGGTACCCGGCTCTGGAATTGTCGCCTCCCCAGGTGATGGTGTCTGTTGAGGCCAGGCCGTTGGCAAGGCCAACGAGGGCCGTCATCACCCACGTCTTGAAAGCCATGATGAGTGGCTTGTGACCTTCACTGGCGAGATGGCCGGGCGAAGTTGCGGTGGTTTGGCTCTAAACGAAGGAAGCACAAACTGGCGTGAGGGGATGGGAAAAAGCAGAACACCATCGGCCTGGAGGGGGAAGACGGGAGGGCGGCTCTCGATATTATCTCTAAATTGGATCTTTGGCTCTCGAGCGCGTTCGGCTCCAAAGCTGCTGGTCTGCTGCGCCGACGGGCAACGAGAAGCGTGGGACCCATGCAGGGCCGACCCATGGATGATTGGCGTGGCATCAGCAAGCCCACCCATGATGCATCGCATCCCGGCCCGTTCTCGAAAGCTAGCGGACAGGCCTAAAGTCCTAAACCACCCCGGACGGTCGGTCGATGGGGACGGCAGCACGGATCTGACCAGTGAGCCGGCGTCTTGTCACCAGGCCGCAGGAGCTGGGCAGGCTAGATAGGTCTGGGATGCAGTATGCGGCAAGGTATGCGCAGGCGAGGCCGGGGAGGGAGGGGATATGCCAGTCGTGGACCTGTTCGAGGCTGGCCTCGAGCAATATTATCATTGGCTTGGCCCTGTGCCAATGCCTTTGCCATTGGAGTTCGCCGTGCTGCTGTAGAGTATTCTGATAGGTGTCTGGAAAGAATGGCAGAGCACAGAGTCTCGATCTGTGATCCGAGCTGCTGACTTGTCACTCGTGAGAGGCGACGACCGGCGAGTAGGCCCCTGACGATCGCACTGAGAGCCTACACTACACAGTAAGAGCCTTAGAGGTACCTAGAGGTAGGTATTGACACCGCCCTGTCTGCCCCTGGATATTTGACGGGAGCACGGAGAGAGTCCAGCCTCAGCACTAGAAGGCGACACGAAGGCCATGCTTTGCTGCGATGCAACGACAACGACTACGGGTGTTGGCTTCGCTGGCGTTGGCTGGCGCCGCGTGCTATGCCGCGGTGCAATGCTGCAGTGACATGGTGGTATCTTTTATTGGGGATCGGCGGAAGTATGCGGGCTGCCAACGCCACGCCGTCCGGTGTTTTGGGGCACACTATTCCAAGCCAGGCCAAGGGTTGGAGCTCGAGAAGGTTCGGATGATTTTTGTTCTTTTTTTTTTTTTTTTTTGCTGCCTTTGTCTGCCTGTTCCTGGATGCCTGGTAAGACTGGCTTGAAGCAACGGCTTGAAAGGGCGGACGGACATGGAAGACTCGGCAGTGGCCCGAGCGATACACGATGTGAGGCTTGAAGGCGTTCGACGGCGCCCGGCAAGAAGGACGGGAAGAAAACGGCTGGTCGATACGATTACTCATGGATAGATGGCGCGAACCCCAACTGACCAACAACGCAGGGCGTGATGGATAGATAGATGGATGGACGCGTCCGAAGGGATGATGGTCGATGGTAGCCGATGATGGGATGATATTCAAGGATCTAGGGATTGACGGATTGCGACTCGCCAGCTCGTGCAGCTCCGAGGCGTGAGATACCAACGGCCATCAGAGAGATGGGCATTGCGAACCTGTGTGCGTTCGTATTCATCGTTCGATCTTCAGAGTGTAATAACACAGGAACAGTGCTAGGGATTTGAAAGAGCCCAAGTGGACGGGAGTGTTGGTGCCGGGATGATTCAGGTTGTGTGTGTGGGCGAAGAAATGCAACTTTTTTGACGACTTTCCTGAAAGAGAAAGAGGCAGCAGGTACGTACCCACCCAAGATACGGTTAAAATGAGGCACCGTGGACCGTCTCCACTCTGTCCAGTACGTACTTCTATACGTACCTGATGACTGCCCCACACAGCCACCTGCGCGCTGCAAGAGTGGCTCGGTTTAATCGCCGACGACCCGACAGGCCCCACCAGCCCCCGCCAGGATGTTTTTCTGCTGGAGTCAGCCCTCAATCGCCCTCCTTCTCCTCTCTGAATCCCTCCCTCCTCACTTCCTTGTGGTTGAGCTCTTCGTCCCTGTCGTCCATCATCAGCCTGACAGTCTCTGAATCTCCATAATCCACAGTCATCCCTCAAAAGTGGTTCGTGTTCTGGTCCGAGTTGTCCTTGTCCACAGTCCGAGAGAGTCTACTCTGTACCTTACCTTACTCAGTATTCACTGTTTGCTTGCCTATGCTAGCACCCGAATGATCCTCCCTCTTCGCTGCAGGGACCCGTGAAGAAGACCCCAAATATTGGTAGCGAAACATGGCCTCATCGAACAAAGCAGAAAAAACGAAAAACGAAGACAAACAAAGCAGACACGCAGATAACAATGTCCCCCTCCAGCCTGAATCACCAACGGTTTGCCAAGCACACCAGCCAGACACACATACACACAGTACGCACACGGCAGCCATCTTCCCAAGAACCAATACATGATGCCATGCCACCGGCTGCGCGTCTTACAGCATGAAGCACGCCGCTGCTGCTGCTGCACGACTGGCACTGCAGCCAATCCCCATAAGCCAAGGCCTCAACGCTGGAAATAGCACTCTCCAAGTAACCTGATCTGCAGCTGCTCCTAATCTGCCTCAAGCCTAGCGCCACAGACACGCGCGAGTGGAAGTCTGGCAGAGACAAATCTATCCTGCAAAGACACTCTCAACGTGAGAAGTCAACGTCCTTGTTCGTGGCCTACCTCTTCTCAATCACTCTCTCTGATCGGTCTCTGGTGTCATTTTCTCTTCCAGTGGACTGACTGACTGACTGACTGACTGACTGACTTGAGCGCCATCCTTCGAGCTAACGACACATCAAGAGCCCAAGGCCCCATTCGTTTCAGGCGGCAAAGAAACACCAAACAGCGCACTAACGAAATAGTACAGGTACCGACAGCGCCAACGAAGGAATCCAGGAACAGATCGGGACCTGAAGATGCCGCTATCCGCTAGCATGACGCCACTTATGCAAACTCAAGCCCTTTGCCTTTCGCATTTTCTTTCTCGCTGCCCTCTGGCTCTCTGAGAAACGGCGTTTGGGAATCATCAGACCGTCGCCCACGATAGACATACAGCATACTCTGTACGGAGTATAGATGGACCGAAGGCATAAAGATACATCGCTAGCGCTTCTCGTATTCCACCCATCCGCCGAGACGTCACCTTGATCACCTCTCCAGGCTCTCCTTAGCTGTCCGGTGTCCCTGGCTGCCGTATTCTTGCTTTTTGTTCGCCCTATCTCCTGTTAGTTTCCCCTTCCAGTATCTCTGGAAGCGTCAATTTCTCACTATTCCCCATTGCCGGTCTCAGTTTGCGTATTCCTCGACCCCCTAATTTGCGATGTTTCCTCATCGCCATCACCTTTTTTGTTCCTATTCTTTCTTCTGTGGCCGAGAGTCACTATTGTCTTGACTCTTTGTCTCATTGGTCCCCTATTACCCACAATGTCTGAGGGTGTTCTTTTTCTGTCTTTCCCCCTTTGACTTTCCTCCGACCGGCCATCTTCCGCCCGGACAATACTCAGCGTCGCCAAGAGCTTGTCAAGCCTGACTTGCAGGAGACCATTGATTCCGTGCCTGGGGACTGCAGCCTGCCACCAAAAGAGACCTCACCGAGCGACCAATCTCGGTCAGCAACACAGGCAAAATCTGGTGTTCAAAGTTTGCCCGATTTTTCCCACGACTTGCTACCTTCACTAATATGGGTGCTCCCACTAGAGCATGATGACACAATTCCACAAACCTCATCTCTCTGATGCACTCCCTTTTCTCGACCGCCGCAGGCTCAGCTCCCCTACATCGCCTAAACCCAACAACCCCGGCTCTCCGTCCTTCCCAAAATCGACAAGCACCAACAAACATCGGCACACCCGCACCACGGGCCGGACGGCACGGCGCCCGGCAGAGAAGAAGCGAAAAGCCACCCAACACCACCCTACCATTACCTCTGCTTCATGAACAAGAGGCTAAGAGCCCAATTGAACGCCCCATCGCAACCCTCACCGTGTGGCGCCAGAACACTGACCAGTGACCCCTCAAGCCTTGCTTCTTATTGACTCGCAACGTGTTTTCGCTCAGACGCTGAGGTTTAGAGGTGCTTGTCTGCCCTAGCGTTTCTGACTTTCTTCTTGTCGTCTGTTTTGTCACCTATTTTAGGTGCTTTCATCCCAAAGGGACGGATGGACCGGCAATTGCTAGCTAGGCTAGCTTAAACAACTGACACTTTGGGACAGGACAGGACCAGACGAAAAGCCAGAGACAAGCGACGACAGCTTCAACACGCGTCCTTTTGGTCCCTGCGCTTGTGGCTGTCTTGCACGTTTGCTTGTGCACCTGTCTGTCTCTCCCTGATGCCACGAGTTCTAGATCACCACCCGAGGTGGGATGAGATTTCCTGAATAGGCGAGTGACGATTCAATGAGCCGACTTTTGCCGTAAGACGGCGTGGGCTGCAGAGTGCAGCACCGCAGACTGCTGCAGATTGCAGGCACCTTCACTGGTCTGACCATGCGGTCAGCACAACCCTTGGAGGTTGGAACCTGCTTATCACAGCGTCTCACTGCCAAGTGCCTGGACCAAGCTTGAAGTGGCGAGTGAGCAGTAGATAGGCACTTCAGGTCCGGCCGTCTGATTTTTTGGCCGTCTTTTTGACCGCCTTGTTCTAATTATTTGATGGAAGGGGTATATCTCGCGGTCCACATGATTTTAAGACCTGTCAGAACTCGTGAGCCGATCGTGCATCCAACTCTCTCTGCCCTTGCATCCCCTTACGATTGACTGGCGGGTGAATCATCGCGATACACCCGGAGGGCAATCCGTTGAAAGAAATTGTTGAGCGAAGTATGGCGCGTCGCCTCTCGATGCTGCTGCAATGCCCACGTATCGTAGTGTTCCTCCCCCATCTCTTCTAGCAGCGACAGGAATCGGTCTTCCAAGTCCCCAAAGTCCACAGTCAGATGTCCAGCCTCGGAAGCGGAAGGGAGCCCGCCACGGTAGAAGAACAAAGGTGAAAGTCGGTCTAAACGCATCGAGGACCCTCGAAGGGGCCTATCCGGATGAGGGTGGCACCCCAGAAGCTCATCCTCCTGCGGTGGCCTGCTGAGATCCAAGGCCCCGAACCGCGTCAGGACTCGCTGCTCGTCAACCAGGTTCGGGATGTTCTCGCCGCGGTTGAAGGGCGTGAGGAGCAGCTCTGGGACGCCGAGGCGCTTCCATTGCCCTCCGAAGGGAAATGCGTCCCAGTACATCGGCAGGATACGCTGCCTCACCATCATCCAGTTCTTTTCCCAATCTATGAACTTGATGTTGAGGTTTCCTATGGCTTTTAGGGAGCCGAGGAAGCGCGCCACGTCGTTGGCCTTTGCCCAGTGGCAGAGGAACGGCGGATTCCATTGGCGCCAGAACTTTTCGGTGTCGAGTATGGGTTCACCTTGGCATCCTCGATTCTAGAGCATGTCAGTCGATGCGATGTGACATGTTCTATCATGCCTGGACTCGACGCCATGTGATCGGGCGGAACGAGCGTGAAGTAAGGGTAATAGTGAGCTCCAAGACATAATCGTGCACTTCAGGTTTAAGTAGGAAAATAACATACATTCTTATCAATCATCATGAAGCGAAAACCACTTGTTTTTCTGGGAACATGATGCGGCGAGTACCACGGCGCATCAGCCGGAAACCACGGCCCCCGAAACTCAACAAACACATTCTCAATCTTCTTCGCGTCTCGCAGCTCGTCGAACACGGGGTTGTCCATATGATTAACATGAATATACCGCGGCGCTGGGAAATCCGCGCTCTTCACGCTATGCGAAGTGGCGATTGTGATCCACTGGTCTTTGCGACATGTCGCCGTGATCCGGATGGTGAGGCAGGGTATCTCGCCCGCCTCGTTGCGGGGGAGGAGGTGCGGCGCGAGTTCGCGGGCGGCTTGCTTGCAGGTGTTGACGAGGCCTAGGACGGGCTGCTCGTCGCAGTTGAATTCAAAGTCGACGGGGAGGGGCGCGGCGACGAGAGCCCAGATGGTGTTGCGGAGCTCTGGGGGGAGCTGGAGTAAGGGTGAGTGTTGGGCGGTGGGGGTGCCCATGGTTTCGCCGGAAGTTTTCCCTGTAATCGACGACTTGGGTTCTTTCTTCTCTTTTATATCTTTTCTTTGTGGCACAGAAATTATACAATACCTTACGTGGATGAAGCATCGTCGTCTCACTCGTCGGTGAGTGTTCAGCGTCGGGTAGCAGCAGGTTGAGAAGGTCACGTGGCGGGCGGACGCCTGCTACCAGATCACGTGGTGGCTCTGCTGCCTGGAGAGACGTCTCACGAGCAACTTCAAGAGGCACAGCATTGCGCTAACTCCAAATAACACCTGAAGGCCTTGGTTTTTTCAGGCTGTTCCCTTAATTTCCGAATTCTTTTCGAAATTCCACAGAAACCGTTGAAATCGGACCGCACCTCGAAGGACATCTCCGGTGGAATTGTCAGTTGACTTGGACATCTTTAAACGCTTATTCAACCTTGATAGCTAAAAACCATCGTCAGTCTACCAAGGTGGACGAAAAGCTCGAGTTTACAGTTTCTGGGAGGTTGAAGAGGGTACTTCACGGTTATCAAGACTACAGGGTTGCTCAAACACCTTTTGAGGGCGGGCACTATAAGTCTGTCTTCCAAACGCAGTCTGACCTCACCAACAATTCTCAATACAACATCCCGACATCGCAAATATGGCCGTAAACTCTCTGCTACACAAACTACCTGGGGAAATTCGCAACAAGATATGGACGCTGCTCTGCATCCCGCCCCCATGGCGACCAAACAAAGAGAGGCCCGGGCCAGCAACAGGCATCCTCAACTGCAACAAACACCTCTCTCAAGAATTCTCATCATTCCTCTTCCATCAAAACTCAAACGGCGAGATCCCAAGTCTCACCATCGTCGTCACGGCCACATGCCGAAGAGACGCTTGGCTATCGTTAGCAATTGAGTCCGAGTGCCCGGATTCCAAAACAAGTTTCCACTTCAACGAGCGCATCGATAAGGCACGGTGCTTCGATGTCAATGACATGGACAACCCAGTCTTTGACGTCCTCCGCGAAGCAAAACAGATCAACATGGTCCGCATTCGATTCGAAGGCCCCTGGTTCGTCAATGAGGCACCGCTGTATTCGCTGCCCGGGACACGCAGAGCTCCGTTCGGAGAGGACCCGATATACGATGCCGAGGCCTTTTGGAGGCAGTGGGATGTTCCATTTCTTTGTCACTGGGCCAAGGCCCGGGATGTTGCTCGGCTGCTCGGGTCTTTTCAGAAGATCGAGAAATTGGCGATACATTTCAATGATTGGGGTCGAGACCATCGAAGAGACGGGAAAAAGTACTGGCACGCGATTCCGCTCTATACTTCCATGAAGGACTCGAAGTTACGGAACCCGGTTAGGGTATGGAGGCTGCTGTTGGATTGCTTCTTGCATGGGGATGGGGACGCAATGAATTTGCTAAATCTCTCTTACTCTGAATGCGAGACCCGGTTCGGCATCATTGCGTTTCCCACGAAAAAGAATCCCGAGGGGGGGCTGACCCTCGACGATGATCATGGTGACGGGTTGGCTGATCAACTCAAGGGGGTTGGGCCGATTGAGAAACCAGCAACTCTTGAGGAAACCACCCATCAACGTATGAACCGCCTCTTTGCCGCGTTTGAATCGCTTTTCAATCAACAGAGCGACGATGTTTATGACATTTGGGCCCTGCGAGAGCATCAAGCGGCGACATCAGACTCTTCGGCTAGGAACTTTTTCCATCGACTGCAACGTCAAGAATAGTTTCCGATCAGCTAAGTTCAAGTAGGATAATGACAAGATCATAGGACTCCGTGAAGAATCGTGGTCTACGACCGGTGTAAGAATATGAACGACATCATGCCCGAACATGATACCGCCGTTACTGTATGCATGATAGACAGTCCGCGTGCCTCGTTCAGGCATGCTATTCATGTCGTTGATCCTCATGCAGCGGTTGTATCTACGTTTACGTACCTGTACCCGGCGGATGAATACGCGATAACCAATCCAATATCCCTCATTGACGGGCACCCATGTTAGCTCCGCAATACATAGCGGACCGCACCCCAGAATGTAACGTTGTTCAATTCGCTCTCATCATTAGCTCGCTTACGTTCCACAGCGTCGCCCGGCTTGCATAAAGTGGTCTCGTAGTGATGCGGGGGGCAGCGAGGACTTGTGAAAAACATTGTGGATGAGATGAAGCGCAGCTGAGTGTAGAGAATTGCAACATGTCTGGGCCTTCATCTGGCTTTTTCGTGAAGATGGGGCTCATCCCTGATGCCGTTACCCCGGCGTCCTTCCTGTCATGGCAGTCTGCAGCTACGCTCCTCGTCATTTGGATCACCTATTGTCTAGGTCGTGCCATCTACAATGTCTCGCCTTTGCACCCCCTCAGCAAGTTTCCCGGCCCCAAGCTGGCTGCAGCATCTTATGCCCCTGAGTGCTGGTACGATTTCGTGAAGAAGGGGCGATACACCTATGAGATTGTCAAGATGCACCAAATTTACGGTACGGGAAATCATGTCGTCGTAAGACTGAAGCTCACAAGGGACAGACATCGGCTGATGGACAAGAACCTAGGACCTATTGTCCGCATCAACCCTGACGAGGTGCACTGCAACGACATCCGCTTCACCGACGAAGTCTACGCCATCAACGGTAGAAAACGAGACAAGCACATCCACCACATGATCAACTTACCAGACCCGTACAACTCCCACCAGCATTTCTCAAGTCTTCAGCTTCCTTGACTCTGACTCCCATCACAGCGCAACCTTCGCCACATTTGGCACGATCGACCACGATCTCCACCGCAGACGGCGAGCCGCCGTCGGCAAGTTCTTCTCCCGGCAGCAGATGCTCAAGCTCGAGCCGCAAGTCCACGCATCGGCGCAGAAACTCTGCGACAAGCTTCTCTCGTTTGCCGGTGCGGATGGCGAGATCGTGCCCCTGCAAGACGCCTATAGCTGTTTTACCACGGACGTGATTACCGAGTACTGCTTTGGCGAGTCGTTTGGATTTCTTGAGCAGAAGGAGTGGACGCCTAATTATCGTGCTGCTGTTTACGGGGCGTTAGTTCATACATTCCTGTTCAAGTTCTTTCCGTGGACGAAGATCGTTATGAATGCTGGACCTTAGTGAGTGCAATTGCAAACCTGCTGCAGCGGGATTCATCTATAAGGGCTGACTGATCTAGTCTCAAGGATTACCTTCCCAGGGACACGGCTATCTTCATCAATACCTACGCAGTGAGTTCACTCCTGTCTCTTTTCTCAGCGTGTATGAAACGCCTTTCAGAACGGTGATCAATAACCAAGCACCACAGACCGTCATCCCAGCCCTCGTAAAAAAGGCTAGAGACCGCAAAGCCACAGGCACAGATACCAATACCCGCCCCAACGTCTTCGCCGCTTTATTCAACTCCGACCTCCCGCCGGAAGAAAAGACGATTCCAAGACTCACGTCCGAGGGGGCCATAATGATAACCGCGGGAACGGAAACGACAAGCTACACGCTCACACTCATCAGCTTCCACCTCCTCTCGAACCCCACAATCCTGGATAAGTTGACGCGAGAACTGCAAGAAGCAGTCAAGGATCCGAAGCAGTTGCCAAACTGGCCCATATTGGAAACACTCCCGTACCTGACTGCTGTCATCTCTGAAGGTCTGCGATTGGCGCCTGGTGGATCGATGCGCACTGGGAGAGTTGCTACCGAGGAGGATCTTGTCTATCGCGGGCAATGGAAGCCCGAAAGGTCGGATGTCGATGTCGATGTGTGCCATGTCATTCCCCGTGGATGGGCGGTTAGTATGAGCGCCATCATCTCCCATCTTGACGAGAGGGTGTTTCCCAACGCCAAGGAGTTTATACCAGAGCGGTGGATCGATGAGAATGGTCAGAGGAGGAGGGAGTTGGAGGCTGGGTTCATTCCCTTTTCCAAAGGAACTCGTCAGTGTGTGGGGATGCCGTGAGTTTTCAGCTCTGTCGCAGATTCCTCACCGACTTGTACTAACCTTTTGCGTAGACTCGCATACTCTGAGCTTTACATTGCTTTGAGTTCATTGGTGCTGAGGGTCTTTCCGCGTATGCAGCTGTACGATACTACTTTGCGCGATGTTGAGTACGATCACGACCTTGGCGTGCCGATTCCCGCGACCGAGAACGGCGTGAAGGTCAAGATTGTTTAATCTAATAGAATAATTCAGAATTCGCTATGAAGTAAATGTATTTGTTGAGCATGTGGTGGGGTGAATCGTTCATGAACTTCCCTTCCTACGGTTCGGTCAAGTGCAATCGAATCACCAAACCGTCGATTGAATTTGGAAACTCCCAGTCTTTGTGATTCACGACCTAATAATAGCAATGGCCCACTCCTCACTATTCACTCAATCCATCTCCCTGCATCTATAAAGACAAAGAAGTGCAACCATGGCTGATCTCTCACAAATATTCTCCTCTCCATCGTCTCTGCAACCGACTGTTCAAACCGAGACTTTCCAGTCTGTTTCAACTTCCTCGTCATGAAGCTCAACGCTCGCGTTCTCATGGGTCTGGCTGCAATCAGCCAAGCCGAACAGCCCTCAGTAATCCCAATCAATGGGACAACATGTCAGTCTCCTCCAAAGGCTTCTTCAATTGAAGTTATCCCTATCAATGTGACTACAAGTCACTCTCTCCCCCAGCCCTCGTCGATTGAAGTCATCCCCATCAACGCGGTGAGTGTGACAGGCCACTCCCTCCTCAAACCCTCGCCAACCCAAGTCCCATCCAACTGCACACGCACACACGAGGACACGGACAAGCCAGCCACCGACAATCCCCCGGCTGAAGTCCCCTACTGGGGCTTCAGACAAAGCTGCACCGAAATACACGGCGACGGAGGCAAAGAGGCAGTCATCTGGGCCTGCTGCGACACGACACACGGCTACGGCATCCAGAACCGCTACCGACTGGGCCAGTGTATCGAGAACGCGCGCGGGAAGCTGATTCCACGCAAGAATGGGGGGTTTTGGCGCACGTGTGAGGAGTGTGGGCTCAAGGATCCGAGGCGGCTGACGGTGTATAGCTGCAAGTGCTGGCCTATGCCTAGGCATGGGACGAAGTATGAGCGTGTGGAGACTGAGATTGAGTTGGTAAGTTATGGGAGAAGGAGTGTCTAAAGTGACGATGAGAGTTTGGTGCTAATGATACTTGTAGAATGACTTCATCGGCAACGACCATGGCAAGTTGGTTTGCTTCGGCGTCAGGGAGGAGCGCTACTGGGGGAACTGCACCAACAACTTTCCTTGGGATGACTAGACTAGACTACCACAATAGCAGATAAGAGTTACAGTGAGTCTACTACATCAAGACGCATAAGCGTGGAGAACCTTTGTGGTAATCTTCCAACCTCCATTAACCTTGATCAACGTGTGAAAGTCCGTGTCCGCCAGCCCATCGGCGGTGTTCTACATGTCGACTTTGACAATAGCGGTCGTGGGCGTGATGCCAATGATGTCGCACTGGGTCTTGAGGGACGCGCTTGCGCCGTGGGTTTCAAAGACGACGGGAAGGTCATGTTGGTGTACGAGCCTAGTGAGAGTGTGCCATCGGCCGGGGCCCAGCCGGTCATTGTTGCGTCGTTGTGGAAAGCGAGGTCGAGGAAGGTAGGGTCTGCTTTTGCGACGCTGTCGACGTATTGTTGGCTGTCTTTATAACTTCTTCGTATTCTGACATTGGAATAGTCCTGATATTTTTAGACATTTCTGAAGACTGGTTTCTTGAATATTTGAGGTTTGAGGACTTGGGGATCACACTGAGTCAGCTCGACTGTGTGAGGCTTGGATTTAGGCCTGACTAACCTACCACCCTCAACACCTCTATTGTATACTAGAGGTATAGACTGTGAAATTGCTTCGAAAATAGGTTCGTGTAACTAAGGTGGGGCATAGGTGCTTTCAAATCAAGGTCCGTAGAATTCCACATAAGGTGATGTTCTTCTCATGCCAAAGAAAGCACCTTGATGGCACCAGAGTGAACCTCGCGCCCAAAGGTCTTACAAACCATAGGCCGGGAAAGTCTCGGGAGTGAAGCAGCTGTCGATTGTTTGGTGTTGGATCCGCGGAAACCCGCCAAAACCGGAGGAGGCAATAAGCCATCTCCACGACGTGCTAAAGTACTTCGTACAAGTATCAATATCGAGCTAGAGATTACAGCCAAAAGAGGAATAGGCAAGTCGTCGCTCGCTCGAGAGAACATATCTCAAATAACTTTAGAGAAGTGCGGGGCAGTGAATTGTGTATCAATTGATCAAGAATTCTTTCATCAATCAGATGGGCTTATGAGAGTCCACAAGGCCCCAAGACCGTAGCATTGTTTATCTGAGTACCTCTCCTGTATCTCTTACTTAGATGCCAGACACACGGCCATACAATATACGAGGACCATACGGTTTGGCAAGTTGGTCCCTTTGGAAGGGAGTCTATCAATGGCCACAGGTACCGGCAGGACGTCCAGACACATGAGCTATGATAATCAAGGATCAGGGTCAAGACTTCTAAACCAGCCAGGAGGAACCAAGACTTACGCATGCACTCGGCGTTAAGACAGCAGTCACTGCTTCCAACAGTACAATCACCTGTTTTGCAAATAATTAGTCGGCAAAGATGGGCCAGGGTTATTGTCATATGCCATGACACGATGGAAACCTACCACCAGCTGGCGTGCAAGCTAATGGGGGCAAATCGAGTTAGCCAGGGTATAAAGACTCCAAAGATGATGGGTGAATGATAGGTAGGTGTCAACATACCCGCAGACGACGCAACGAGAGCGCTCATGACCGCGAAGACGGAGAAAAGTTTGACCTGCATGGTGCCCGAGGTTTTGTATTGAGTAATATGTCGAAGGCAAGTTGTGAAGCAACGTAAATAGGAAAGACTCGTTACAAATGTTTGTGATCCCGCTTGCTCCCGGTAGCTTTAGTCGGAAGACTGGTCGCTCTACTTATATATGCGAGAACTCTCATATCCAAAGAACGGCTAGTCTCGCATCCAGATATTCGGCAAGAGCGGACTTGAACATGCTAGGCAGAAGGATTGTGTTAACTCGAGTCATCGGTTTGTGATTTGACTTTCGAACGGGTGGGATAGCTTCGTGATTAAATGAAGAAAAATGCTAGGGAGTCATGGAGGAAAGCGCAAGCATCATCGCATACCGGTCAAAATCCCTGCGGTCTATTGGTGGACGACTGACCGCATCTTCACATACCTAGTAGTAAGGACGGACACAATGGCCTCGTGAGACTGCTGTGTAAAGTTTCAATCCCGTATTATGGAAAAGTTTAATAGATGGAAGAAGTACTTTAGCCATTTGGACGAATGGCACTTGGTGTAAAGCCCCAGGTACGGAGACTTCATTGAGGATCTTTGCAAAGATAGTTTCGACCGGGAACTATTCCCCACATAGTTTGAAATCTTGTTCCTTTCGTGTAATTATAACACACCTCGCACCCGCTATCTAAAGTACTTTGGTGGGCAACAAGAGCGTCGTCTCTTGTCTCTCAGTAACTTGAACTACGCAACAAAGACTACCTATGGATACGCGAAAACGTCCCTGAGCCTTCCGAGGTGATCTTGCAAATATTGTAAAGGATCAACATCCATCGAGCCTTTTCGCCTTCAAGTTCGATCTTGAGTGATACTGTCGTCAACGCTATAGTCATCATACTTACATCTTGCTGTCGCATTCAAAGTGTACATACTAGTTGCCGACAGCCTGAGATAGGTTAGCAAACACACAATACACTAACATGAATGAACACACTTCGAACTTTCATTTGTCAAGCGGGTTTGGAAGCTCGCGTACGTATCAGTGGGATGCAGATGATGAAGACAAGACGTCCAGACTGCTCTCCATCATACCTTAGGAGTGACGTAGCCATTGATTGAAGGAGGTCCAAAATATAGAAAGGAGCAAGTTTACTTACATTTATCTTCAAATTTGAATCAATTTTGCTATTGCTCCAGCTTGAGAATGATATCGCGAACCACATCTATAGTGTAGTGCCTCTCAAGGCAAAGCATTTAGAAGGAGTTAGGATAATTGAATCAAGTGAAATTTGGCCCCGAAGTAAGAAAGGATCTATTGAGAAAATCCGCTATTTGAATGCCTCGCTATGCAATTACCTAGGAGACCATTAAAAACCTGGCACGACCGACCTAGTGCATAATGGAACAATCGGAGATGGATGCGCTCCATGAGTTCATGAATGATTCGGTTAGTGATCGTTTGGTGCGCCAAAGAAGTGGACAATACATTCATATGACATACATTTGGCGTGAAAATTAAAGTTCTCGACGTTCCATCAAAAACCAAGAAGTCCAAAATGTCTAGCCGTAGTATACGCGCATCTCCGATACCTAATCCTTCCGCACTTAGGTACCTTACCTTTCACTTGTGCTGACCTTTGTCATATCGTTTCTTGTTTCCTCATTACAATTTCGGTTTCGACATCTCAAATCACCTTCAACCTGTTCTGTGACCTCGGCACGAATTACAACCTACAATACCCGAAATATCCATTAAGATGGATCGCCAACGCCCCAAGAGCAATGCACTACATAGAAGCTCCTTGGAGAGACTCCCCCCCGAATTACTTTTGAGAATTTGCAAAAGCCTAAACAACGTACGGTCTCCTTCTTGGCGTCATTATGGGAGGGCCCTCACCAGTCTTGCGTCACTCTGTCGAGCATTCAAGCATTTGCACACTCTTGGATCGGCTGTGCTCTATCAACGGTTCCGATTTCGGATCAGAAGGGAGGAATCCAGCTTAAGCAGACTGACATGATTTATCTCAACTACTCGGCGGAGTTCTCTCTTAGCTGGGCATGTGAGAGAATTGATTCTTGACATACATGATGCAGACTCTCTGGGCCGCGTTTACTTAGACGGCCAAAAGACTATCCAAAAATCAGGAGGAGCCCTAGACTCGGAACTAGGATCGTTTGCTCGCCCGCTCCCGTAAACCATTTCAGTCTTGCAATTCATCATCGTTTTAGCACAGTACCTGCTCATGCGGCTAATTCAACTGAGAAAACTATCGGTGAAGGCTCATGGTCCTTGCTCAATGCATACAGTCGGGAATTGGGTCTATCTGGAGAGACATGGACGAACAGGGAGCTTGCCATCGTTACACACCGTGGTAATCAAGACATTGGGAGTACCCGCAGCATCCCGAAAATGGGGCTCTGGTATTTTACAAGCTCTTTGTCAAATCGCACCAAACATCACCTCTTTGGATACTCAGCTGGTTATACCGATGCCAACACCAATCGACATGGCAAATGCAACCTTTTATCTGCAAAATATTGAATACCTCGATTTGCACGGGACAGAGATGGGATCTGAGATGCTATTTTCATTGGTTCTTTCCTGTGGACCATTGAAAAGTTTCAAGTATCGACCATGCGCCGGGTACGTAAACCGATGGCACCATCAGACGCGAGAGACTGCCGATATCACCGCTGCGTCAATTCTCGATGCACTGAAACCTCACGCAAACACTCTCAAGTCTTTGGAACTGAACATTATGGAGAATGCCTTCCATTCAGGCCGTCGAGAGCAGCTAAAATCCATGCGACATTTCGAAACTCTTGAATACTTGGGATTGGACAGCTTCTGCTACGACAAGGGACAGTCTCTAGGCAAGATTCTCCCAGGCAGACTGGAGACCATAGATATCACATGCATGCATGAGTCAATGCATGAAGATGTCTTGGAGCTGGCGCGTTCAGCCGAATGGATCTCCAACCTCAACACGGTCACCTTATATCCTTGGCCCAATAGCACGATGTGCCCTACGAGTATCCTCAAAATTTCGGCCATTGCTAATCGATTCCGACAAAGAAACGTAGTATTCTCATTCTCCCATGAGATTCATATCAACCGTGCATCCAGAAGGGACCTGGGATGTAATAGCTTTCTTGACCGCTTGGCTCTGTGGAACCCTCGCACCTACAACACTCTTGCATAGCTTGAGACGATAGCCTAGCTGGGAAACAATTAGCTATACAGGTAGCACAGATGGATAATGGTCTACATCTATAGCCGTCTATTAATCGAATGATCCATGTACCAAAGAATAATCACTTCACAGAGGTTGCAGTTTATAAGTGGTGCGTACATCTGTCTGTTGGACCGATGAACAGAATGTGCGCATAATGCATCATATGGGCTATGCACAATCATCGTGGCAAGATCAGTCCCAGATGGTGTTATCAGTCAGTTAGTCGGAATCAATTGACTGAGTTAAGAATTGATAGAGGAATGGCCCCATTGAGCTCGCTCAGGCATGTTCAAATTTAATTGCAACGGTATCTTTTTGTTGAAAGAAAAAGAAAAATAGGGGCTGATGAAATCAGCGTAGAATTGTATGTTGAGCTCCAAGCGACCAAAATCACGAATTCAATCCTCTTCGATCACACAATCTACATTAAATAGTAGGGAATACTATTCGAACATGAAGGCCTCGGAATTTCTTCTCAAAGGTGACCATTGACACACAGCTTACAGTTGTTTGACTAGAGAACTTGTAAGCCTTCTGATCGGAGGGAGGACGTTCGGGATAACTAACAGCTGACAAAATGGTGGCTACAACAGCGGCTGAACATTTGGAGTCTTCCTTCACATCTGTTTCCAAATCAGCAATTGGTAAGAGGTTTTCTTTTTCGCTTTCGCTATTGTTGCGCCCTGAGTACCTGGTTAAGGTGGTATCATCGAAGACGTGAATCCGAGTGAATTGAGGGTGACATCACGTTGGAAATGCTTACCGAGGCCGCGAGCAGCGATCGCCCACATGCAGGTGACACCGCCAGGAGTTACAGATCCAAGACAGCCTTATAGAATGTCAGTAAAGGCCAAGAAATGTGAGACGAGGGATTTTCTTACTAAAGAAGCGGCGCCATCCACAGTGCATGAACGGCACGTTGCTCCTCTTGTCGAGATCTCTGTTCTCAAGGTCCAAATCGGTGTCTAGTTGAGTTGTCAGTTTTGTATCCTTCAAAGGATCCCTTCCATCACTTGAACTTCATTCAAGTCGGAAAACAACGATACCTTTGAAATACGCCTCTAGGGCAGTCTTCCAGTCATCAGGAAGGTCCTTCGGGATCTCGATGTTCTCAGCAGCTCTAAGGGCAAGAGCACCTTCCGCAGAAGGCAGCTCAGCTGGGATGGCCAGAGCCAGGGGGGCCATAACAAGGCAGGCGATGAAGGTGCTGAACTGCATTTTGAAAGGTTTGACTTGAGGAAGATTCAAATACTTGAGTGATGAGACAGTTGGAACTGTTGTTATCGATGTCGAAATAATTCAGGAAGAGAGGAGTCCGTTGGAGCTATTTATAAGAATTCTTTGGTCTATCACAATACTTACAAGCTCAAGACGATTCAAATGTAGCCTCTTTACCACTATCGGGGATGCCTGGCTGCTCACCAACATGTTCGCTGCTCCATGGGTCCTAACGTCTTCACTGAACTGGTTCATCGCGAAATGCTTGCCTGCCACGCGCATTATAGCCAGCTCCTTATTGGTGAACAAAGCTCGTTCTTGCTATTGAGCCCGCTGTGGAACTTTCAAGAGCGTTCATCGGAAAATAAAAAGCTTCTCACATTCAATTTCGTTCCAGAATTGGGTAAATCATTGCGCAGTCGGCCAGTTGACATGTCGGCGAGTCAAGGTGCAGCCGAACATCCGAGCCGCAACTGACTCCTTGACGATCCATGCGCGAACTCAAAAAAGTCAAAAGACGGATGAACTATGGCCTGGGCTTTGTCCTGTCCACTCAGAATCTCTCAATAAGTCCACGAGGACTTGCTGTCATCAAACTCTGTCATATCTGTCGGCTGCTCGGAATTCAGCCGTGTGAGTTGAGAGCAAACAACCACAGCTTTCACGATGACTGAGTTTGGGATCATTGTGAAGCGACGGAGAAACGTGGACACTGGCGAGGATTTCATAGGATACTGGGCAATCAAAGATAATACGAGTTTGGAATTGGACTTCGTGAAGTTGCGCTTAGAATTCGCTAAACAATTATCACCAGTGTCATGGACAGATTGCGTGCAACATCGCAAAAGACGTGTGTATAGGTATATAACGCCCAGAAAACTCCCAAAAAAATGGTAATATTGTCCACAACAGCAGAAAGCTACCACCGCACACTACCAACTCCAAGCATTACACTCAAGAACTCTCTTAACTCCCCTACCCTATACAACAGAGTCACAATGGCACACTTCAGCCGTCCCGTTCTTCTCATCCTCACCACTCTCTTCCTTTTCTACGGCTTCAGTACCGCTTTCCCATCTCTCGCGGGGGCTCTCGAACCTCGTTGCTGGCGCAAAGCCTGCGACCACTGCGAGCGTGTCACTGTCACCATTGATCACCCCGGCTCCTGCAACAGCGTCAACCGCGATAATCTCAAGGCAGCCATCGACAGCACCTTCGTCAACTATGCCGGCAACTGCAGAGGCGAGGAGGCTGGCTTCAGCAATCAGGCGATTGCTGGCATTCAGGGAATCGGTTGCAGAGTTACTGTCAACTTCCCTCGTGGCAACAAGGGTGTCGACTGGGGTGGTTTGATCGGTTCTAACCTGGTTGGAACGGGAAGCTGGGCTGTCTCTGGCACCTCTACCGATGGCAGCGTGCACTGCGGCGGTTCCTGCCAGTGGTAGTTACGTCGATATCACAATCTTTCGATTTCACCACCGCGTAATTTGCCCCCAGAATGAAGTCAAGGATTGCGCAAACAGCATTTAGATGGGATATGGCCCAAGGGTTAATGCCAAGTTTCATACATGAACTTGGCTGGATGTATCTCACTAAAGTACTCTTTTCTTCGATGTGCTCTTCACAGCACCAACTTTATTCACATCATCATCGTGTTTTATCTTCTAAAATATATTGAGTATACGAATTGTTCCAAATTCCAATCATGGAAAAAAAGATTGCTGTATCATCGAGAGAGTCCTGTAGCTTCAAGTTTCCAGCAGTCCGACAGAGCTGGAAAGAACGATATTACAATGCGATACTACGTTTCTACGCAAGTTGACCTGATAGGGTGCTGGCCGCCAAGACCAGATTAAGTAACGTTATTGTAGACTGGCCAGTGACTCTGGCCTCTGCAGCTTGTTGGCCAAGTCTCCGCATCCCGCGGGCTGCACATCACTCTTGGCTGCTGACATGCCAAGTAGGAGCTGATAGCCTGTTAGCCTTGAGATTCGTTGCAAAAGCGAGTGCGAAATCACTGCCACGAAGGATGCTGATACCTGTCAGGCAGCTTCAGAAATTGAGAAGTTTCCAAGAAAATATTCTGTATAAGAGGCCCTCCACCCTGGCTTGAAGAGAAACTTGATATCATATTGCAATCTGGGTAGCTGGTTCGCATTCTTCCAGTCTTATTCCAAAAGACTCAACCTCTTTGCAGTTAATCCTGCCAAATATTTAAAAGCAAGAGCCTTCGCAACTCTTCAGGATTACGGCCCTGCTTTTTCAGATGATTCCTGGTCAATCGCGAGTATGCTAGCTAGCATAGGCAGTGAAAGCAAGAGGGTGGCGTCTCACGCAGCCGCCAGCTTGGTGAAGAGCGTTTTGAAAGAACGGGATAAGGTCGTTGTGAGGACTGGAGTCAATAGCAGTGGGAAACGACATGGCCTTGTGGAAGAGATTGCCCAATCGGCCGCAGCAGGTATCGGTACCATCTCTGAAGCCTTACATCAGAGAAAAGAGAAAAGGTCCAGAGCACCAAATCCAGAAAAGCCCTCAATTCAGCCAGGCGATTTCAACAACACGGAGTCTAGACCGAAACAGCTTGACGAAGGGACCGGAAAATCGAATGCCACTGACCTCGAAGGAGCAACGCCCACGTCAGCTTCGCCACCTGCTAAAGACACAGGTGATATTGCATTGGCCTTTATCAAGAGACACCCGTTGGACATTACTAGAAGTTCTGCGGACAGGCAGAGACTCTCTCTGCCAGTGCTTGTACCCCAGAGACGGCCCGAGAAGCGAGCTCGGGGTTTCATACGAGCCTACGCACCCATGCTAGCCAACGTTGATATCAACCAAGACACTTTCCTCGACTTCATCGATACCTTTAATAAGTCACTCGAACCTAACCCTTGGATCAGCGCCGTCAATTTGGCGGGGTTTGCAGGAGAAGCGCTGCCCGATCCCGCATCGCTACTCTTCGGCTTCGCTGTCGAGGCTGCCACGGAGGCCTTCATGGAGGGACAGAGTTTGTTCTGCTCCAACAAGTTCTTGAACTACGTCAACGCAGAGTTCTTCATTCCACGAGGGTTAGTCTGCCTCGTTGTTACATGGCAGCCCGACAACGACAGCGGTCAATTCGCCACCAACTTTGTGGAGGAAGTGGACGTGCCCCAAACCAAGCCTGATTTAAAGCAGGAAATCTCAGATATTGCCGCAGAAAAAAAGAAGCCTTCAGAGGGCTGGCAAGAGTTGAAGACAGAGATGGGCGAGTTGATGAAACCCACTCATGGCGACTTCAGCTGGCCTGAGCCGGCGCCTCTTATCTTCCCGGACTTCAAGGGTACCCCCGAAATACGTGATGTTGGAGCTAAAAAGAAGAAAGCTTGGGACAGAATGGAAGATTGGATCAATGAACACTCAGACAAACGCGCTCAAGCTAGCTGGATCGACGAGAACAAACATCACCCAGGGATAAACCTGGTGCCACAACCAAAGTTCAAGTCACGTTACGCTGACCCGAATCATCAAATATCTAGTGGTGACCTTGTCTCTTTGGTCACAGGAGGTCGCTGGAGGCTTGCTACAGATGAAGAAGCCGAGTCCAGCAAGCAGTCAGAGAAGCGGGCTCGAAAGGATTGTGAGAAAGTGAAGAGAGACGAAAAGAAGAAGAGGAAAGAAGAAAGCAAGAAGATCACAAAGGAAGACAAAAAGAGAATCATTCTGAAAGCGGAGCAAGGAAAGAAGGTTGATGGCGAATTCAGCGAGACGGCAGATCAACAGGAGAATACGGATGAGATCGTTGACCTAAGAAGTCACAAAGTAAAGGAGACCAGCAGAGATAGTGTTGAGGAAGATGATGAAACGAAACCAAACAGAAAAGCCGGAAATGACGACGTGAAAGGTCACCAGGTTGGGGGACTCAGGGGTGAAAACCAATCCCAGAAGGCGAAGAAGAAAGCTGGTTCTTCAAGCAATTCAAGTGATGTCTTCAAGGATCTTTTCCAAAAGGTAAGCACAGCGCCCGAGTATGCATTGACTGAGTCATTAAGCTAATCTAGACGATAGGACGTACTGTACCTGGCTATCCTCGATCTACCATGCCAGAGGAAGGTGACTGAAGACTTGAGTGATCAGCCGTAGCAGTGGAGTTTGTGCAAACCAACAGAATTCTCAAACTTTAGTGTTTTGGGATGAATGATGGAGACCAATGGTATTGTTTGACTTCTGGAGGCGCGCGCGGATGCGTAGCGCTTACGGCTTCAGACCCTGTGACCTGGTTTGATGTTCTAACCAACAGTCAATATCATGTCGAGCCGTTTGGGGTTGGCCTGGATTCGGCTGTCGCATCTTGGTTGAGGCCGCTCTTGATTGGGAGAAGGGGCTTTTTGCTCCACAGATATGCATTTGATGAGTTGGGAGTTGAAACCAACAACAACGTGAGACACCTTGAGTCTGGCGGCTACATTGAGATCGATTTGTTGTTACCAGGGTCGCAAAAGGATATTGGAACAGGCTAGGCACTAGTTTGCCTGAAATTTCTTGGCGGTCAGGTGGAAATTTGTATAAGTAGACACCGAATGAACACAGAATAGCAAGCTTGTAGTTATCCCCGTACTTGTGCATCATAGATTCATCGAAACACTCGAATAAGTCACTTCACTATTGTCATACTCTGAAGGGGACCGTCTTTGGAACTACAATCTTCAAGCTCATCTCCCAGCCCTCAACTGCTGCTTCCCCGCGTCGCCTATTCGAGCTCTCGAGATGTCGATTACCACCTTGACAGCAGAGATCAGAGGCCCACAGCTTACCGGTACGTACGATGTTGAAGACCTGAGTCCATCTCTTTTCCTAATAAACTCCCAGCGTCGCAGTTCTGGACTACCATCGCGTGCGTTCAAAAGCTTAGATTCGGTCCAGTTGCGATTCCCAAACCATGCGAATGGTGCCACAATCTTCGTGTCAAGCAAACTCCCGTGAAGGCTGGATACCGGCGGGACGATTTCCGCACCTTCGTTCGCTCAAAGCATGACTTTGAGACTGGCTCTGCCCATGGATGCCGCTGGTGTACTGCTGTTGTTCAAACTCTTGACCGTCTTAAACTCACGCCTTTACATTACCAGCGAGTCGTCCTCTTCATGTTCAAGAGAGGAGGTTGTCAACTGAGCGTGCCCATGGCACGTGTCACTGTACAGTTCTACACCCCTACTGGTGAGCTTACTTAGCATTAAACCCATATGTACCGGTCTGACGATGATTCTTAGGATACCCTCCTGTCTGGGATGGCATCACGCAGGGCTACGAGATGAGTAACTGTGGAGATGTTCATCAGACGGCTGAATTCATTCGTTCCTGCATCCGGAACTGTGATGATAACCACACCTTCTGCAAGGCCCAATCCCCAACGATGCCAACGAGAGTCATTTATGTCGGCAACGCGGAAGATACCCAGGTACGGCTAGTTGAAACCGCTCAAATTCACGCAACTCCCTACACCGCGCTCAGCTATTGTTGGGGCAAAAGCGGAAATTTTGTGACCACAAAAGGAACCATCGATGACCACAAGAAAGCCCTTGATGTAGATGACTTCCCACAGACGGTTCGAGACGCTGTAGAAATTACAAGAGGACTTGACTTGAAATACCTGTGGGTAGATGCTATTTGCATTATTCAGGACTCCGCCGAAGACTGGGAAAAGGAGGCCTCGAAGATGGCTTCCGTGTACAGCGACGCGTACTTCACCATTTCCGCTGCAACAGCCCACACCTCTACTGAGGGCTTCGTTTCTCAAAAGCACGAGGTGGCCCTTCAACAACAGCCATTTCGGATGAATTGGCGCACCGATCGAGGAAAGCGGTCCATACTTGCAGCTCGAGTCATTCCAGGGGCAGATGCTCATATGGCCACGATTACTGGAGATCGCAAGCCTAAGCTTCCTCTCATGACAAGGGGTTGGACCCTCCAAGAGGAACTTCTCTCACGCAGAACAGTGACTTACACAGAACATGAGTTGTGGTGGACCTGCCAAACTGAGAGAGACTGCGAATGCCACACCTTCAAGGAAGTTTCTACAAACACTCAGACGACGCTATTCTCGCCCAAACATATGACCAGCCCGCAGGTTGCTTTTGGACAGTGGCGTGATCTTGTCAACGAGTTCTTTCAACGGCAACTTACTTTTGGAAGTGACAGACTACCTGCGTTGTCGGGTCTGGCAACCGTTTTCCAACGGAAGACAGGGTCCTCTTACATTGCCGGGCTGTGGAAAGACAATCTCATCAACGACCTTCTGTGGTATACGCCAAGGAGAAGAATCGAGGAGTTGGATGATGCAAATTCCCAAGACCGGGTGAACTGCCACATACCAACATTCTCATGGGCGTCAGCTGGTGGTCAGGTCGACTTTTTCAAAGGACCATTTGTTGAACCTGGTTCAAAGGCAAACCAATGGGCCCCTCAGGCTGTTGTTGTAGATGTCAGCACTACTACCAGCGACAACAACCCACTGGGCAATGTGACTGCCGGTCACATTACTTTGCGTGGTCAGATCAAGCAAGCGACCCTCGAAGTTGTTGCCACACGCCGCGGCAGGTTTAGGTCGTATGGAATCAAGAACAACGGAGAATCGGTCGTTTTCCATCCCGATGCGCGTCTGGAGAGGTTCCAGTTGGGTGTGGACGATACCATGAAGGGGGAAGATGCCTCGGTTCGGCGCTCGCCAGCTCGTTCTGAGGTCGAACCCGCTGGTACAGAGTCGCCAGTCATGTTGCTCCATCTTGGAGACTGGGCTGTGGCTGATGGAAAGCTCGTAGACATGACGTATCTTGTGTTAGGAAGATCGCCAACGGATACAAGCAAACATGAGAGGCTGGGTCTTGCGTATCAACAAGTACAGTTTGGTTGCGAAGAAGATGCCATCAGGGATGCATGGAGGGGAGATATCACTATTTTGTAATGGGTTTGATGTGCGCGGCTAGAACGTAATTTGGGAGATGGAAACCTGTTGGGGTTGGGTTAGTTTAGGGTAAGTCATTTCCAAAGATTTAAGACATCGGGGCTTGGAGGGTGAAGCGTTGTTTCAAGAGTCCAGTCTATACTTTACCGTGTACGGAATGAATGCAATATTGGTGATGCCGAAGTTTCTTTCCATCTCTTCATCAGTGAGGTCCATGAATCGCCTTGGTGTGTGCCCACTAAATTTGGTGAGTGACTCAATGACTCAGCTCTTAGATCGGATGTTAAATCAGGCCGTAAAATAACTTCTGGCCACGGAATAGATTTATCACTGTATCGGGTTCGTTAGGGTCAAATCAATCCGCTGGCGCAAAAGGCTGATGTCAAATTACCGTTGTCTCCTAAGATGGCGCCGAATGGCAAGCACTCTTTGCCACCGCAAGTCCAGGCTCGCTTAGACGAGTGGAGTCGTCTCAACTCAAACCCCATTCAATTTGCTTGAAACAACTTTCTCCCGAAGGCTCGTTTACCACGAACATTGGACAACACCATCCAAATTCATATTCGAGAACTTATAATATGCTCCATTGCCCTCGCCAATTCTCAATCATGCGAATCTCGGGTGAATTGTCGGGATCCTCGTGCCGGAAGGGCGCAGGATCGTCCGGCCGCCCGTTGACCGGTAACCCGAGCTGACATGTCGATCACAGGCACAACCGACGCATCCCACGGGAACCTCAAGAAGCTTAACCGGCGATTTTGTACCTATTGTCAACGGCGACTGGTGCAAAATCCAGTCTTGCTTTACCGCCAAATAGGCAAGTGCCGACAACTCCTTCACGATACGACGTAGCAATGCATGGTTGCGGGGGCTAGGTGCAACCTTCGGCCTGATGTGCCATTAAGTTCGGACGACAATCGTTCCTACCCCGGTCCAGAATGACCCTGTTCAGTTCGTGTTTTCCCTGAGACTTTTGACTGAATAACCCCTTCGAGGATCAAAGTGCCCTCCAATATGTCGTTCGCCGTGAGAGCCGTCTAAGTTTAGCGGCACTCGGATCGTCATGTCATGGGGGGGGCCCCTGCGTCGGAGTGTTTCGCCTCTTTCCAAAAGCGATGTTTCCAGTCCCTGGCAGTGGGTGGAAAAACTGACGGTGTGGAGGTTACTTCATCTATCTCGAGGGTTTGGCGGGGCTTTGACAGGGAACGTGAAGCCGAGCTAGCAATAGACATCAGCCGACTGCTATCAACTTGAAGCTTGGTTGAAGAGGTATTTGACCAAGCCCGTTTCCCGCCTGTTCGTCTGGTCTCGTGTTCGAGCTTTATCGCCCATCTCAAGCGCGAACAAGTCTTCAACCTTCCTCTGCAAAATGGTCTGGCTCAACCAAGCCGCCCTCTTTCTGGGCAGCGCGCTGCTGGTGGCAGACGTGCTACCCGTCGGGGCCGTCCGCACTATCATCCCTAAGACGAGCTTCGACTCCCAATCCAACTTCGACGCCGACTGGAACTACCTCTACCCCTGGGGCACCGACCACAACGGCGGCGCTCGCATGACAAAGGACAACGTCAAATTCAGCGGCGGCACGTTGACCATCACGGCCAACAAGGTCAGCGGGCAGCCGCAGGCGACGCACGGCGGGCAAAAGATCAACATCAACTACCTCAGCGGAGCGATCCACGCAAAGGAGCACTTCAATGTCTCACGCGGAGGCGGGTACGACTTTAGCGCCGAGATCAAGGCGACGACGACAAAGGGCACGTGGCCCGCCTTCTGGCTGACGGCCGTCCAGGGGTGGCCGCCAGAAATCGACATGGCGGAGTGGAAGGGCAGCGGCAAGGTCAGCTTCAACACGTTCAACACGAGCTCCATCGTCGCCGCGAAGGACGTGACGTACCCCAGCCCGGGCAACTTCCACTCGTTCAAGTGCGAGACGAGGGACTTGAACGGCAAGGACGTGCAGGCTAAGTTCTACATGGATGGCAACCTCATCACGACACAGGTGGGCGCCGGGTATTTTGGGAAGCCCATGTACCTGTGAGTGAAAGCTTGGCTTCTAAGCGTGAAGTTTATCAGATTACTGACATGAGGGGTGAATAGGATTATCAACTTGCAAATGGAGGGTTCCTCCGGTTCACCCGGCCCAACGAGCAGTAAGCTTTTCTTGTCAATTTATTCTTAAACTCAA